GCCGGATCGTCTGCACCCAGCCCAGGAGGATCAGTGCCATCTCCGTGAGTGCCCTCGGCAAACTCGCTTCCTGGGGGGGGTTATCTCTGTGAATCTGAGCTTTTTGTGTGCTCCTTCTCAGTTGTCTGAGGTTCTGTTACAAGCCACGATTTTGTTCCTGTGCGCTGATTTGATATTTCACAAGTGTTGGTTGGGGTTTGAGTACTGGCACTGCAGGCTCGTTCTCCGAGTTTAGCCATGGGTTATATCTGGGATTTTAATGGATTTTGCAGTGCAAATGTGAATTACGATTAATGACAGGAAAGAGTTTGGCTCTCAAGTGCTCAGTAATTACTCTTCTTGCTAGTTCAGTGTCAAGTGATGAGAGACCCTTGCTTTACCCTGAGGGAAAGCTCACCCTGCTGAAGGGGAGCATGGTTCTGTTCCTCTCAAGTCTGTCCTAGGACACAAACCTGCCCATGGGTTGCTGACAGGAAACACTGTTCTCAAGGAAGGAGAAAAAGTGGTTTTCAGGGCGTTTGTTATTTACAGAACTTCTCGGTTCCAGGTATTTCTTGCTGATTAGTAGCCCAATCACAGATCAGCCTGTGGGATTTTTGAGAGTTTTCTTTGTTTTCCCCAGGTGGCTGAGAGGGTGGCTGCTGAGAGGGCAGAGGCCTGTGGCAGTGGCAAGAGCACGGGGTACCAGATCCGCCTGCAGAGGTGAGTGGCTCCTGGTGCTGCTCTTGTGGGAAGTACCAGCTATTGTTACACGAAGGAGACAGTTTGAAAAGCAGTCCTTAAATAGCTGCTCTCCTGCTGATATTTTCTCCAAAAGGAATTCTTGTGAGTAGCTGGTGTAGGGAATGAGGTTTTTCAGTTTTAGCAAAGAGTTTGAGTGCAGTTACTGTGTTTTATGCAATGTGTGACAGTGACCAGCACCAAGTTGTGCTTTGTCTAGTACGCCCTTTTTTCAGATCTTCTAAAAGGTTCTGCTGTTGGTTGAACTACAAGTGATGTCCCTAATCCAGGAATTGCAAGGCAAAATGGAAATCCTAAAGGAGAGAATGGTCTGAGCCATATTTCTGTGGGAAACTATGTAATTGGTACCCTTACCTATGGACTAATCCCCTGGGATCACGTAATAGATGCATTGACAGGAGTTCACAGAGCAAAAGCTCTTACATTTGGAGTCAGCTGTAGTTTTAAAAGGTACCTGAAATGTTACCAGCAAATAATGGAACCTTTATTGTTGAAACAAAACTGCTGGTGAGAGAGGACAGCTCAGCCCTGCCAGCATTTCAGTTGGAGCTTAGAGAGTCTCCCTGCTCTTTCTCCTCAGTGCTCAGTGAGGGCTGTCCCACTGCTGTGCCCGAGTGCCCTGCGTGCTGAGCCTGGGCAGCTGCAGCAGTGGGGTCAGCACTGCAGTGTGCAGGTGGTGATAAAGGATGTCTGGGCAGTCAGGGCCTCTGTCAGACCCCTGGGTCCTTCCCCAAAGGGATGCAGCTGTGGCCTGGTTCCTGTTCCTCCCCTTGAGCTGTGAGCAAGTCAGTGAGGCACCTTCAGCATGACTGTACTGGTATCTGCACCTGGATCTTAAGCTTTTGAAGTGTTTTTTAAAATACAGAAGAGAACTGAGGAATTCTTATTGTGTCTCTTTCAGTCGGTTGCCGAGGAAACAAGGTTCAATTTTGTACTGTACCACGGGAATTGTCCTCCAGTGGCTCCAGTCGGACAAGTGAGTGTCCTGTTTGATGAGAAACTGAATGCAGTGATGAGAGGAGTCCTGACTCTGTTCTTTCATTTTGCTAAAAACAACTGTTTAAATTCCTCCTCTTCTGTTTTAGGCACTTGTCCAGCATCAGTCACGTAGTCCTTGATGAAATCCATGAAAGAAATCTTCAGTCAGATGTTTTAATGAGCATTATTAAAGATCTGCTAAATATTCGACTGGATCTGAAAGTCATACTAATGAGTGCTACTCTAAATGCAGAGAAGTTTTCCGAGTACTTTGGTAGGTTAAATGCTTCCTAGAAATGTTCCTCTTAAGTAATTTAGGCTTCTAGAGTAAAATGCAGTTCTTAAATTATAGAATTGATTTTTATCAAAAGAGGAAATTACTTCAGTTTTCCAGAGAGTTGGCAGCTGGTGGAGATGCTGATTCTCTGTTTTATCTCATCATGAGCAAGTATTGCTTCTGGTTTTGCTCTTCAGACATGCTGTGGAAGTAGAATCCACAGAGTATTTTCCTATTAAATATTTAGTCATATTTACCACATTTTAGAATTCTTGGTGTGAGTGGGCAACCAGATTGAACTGTTAGTTGTTCAGTCTCCCAGCTTTATCCTGTGGCTGGAGCCAGGGGAACATGCTGGTGTGCAATACACTGCTTGCTGCCTGTGCTTTTTAACTCAACAGCTTCACTTGGGGGTGAATTTGGTGTATTCCATGGGAATTTGAAAATAAATAATCACCAAACCCACACAGACATGACAGCTATATTGCAGAAATAGGGAAGAATCTATTGCCTCTATTACTTCAGTGCAGTGTTTCATTGGTGGTTTTAAAGCTGAGTTATGCCTTCCCCCACAGACCACTGTCCAATGATTCACATCCCTGGGTTCACTTTCCCGGTGGTGGAATATCTGCTGGAAGATGTAATTGAGAAGTTGAGGTAAGTGGGTTTTCTGAACATCATTTCAGAGAGTATTTTGGGGGGGGGTTGGCTTAGCATATATATTCAAAGACTACTTGGAATAAAAAAGAATTGCTTGTATTTTTGAACAGAAAACCTTCCAAGGGAAGTCTCATAGCTTGTACAGTAATTACAGATGGCACATGGAAATGTTGGCTTGAGGGGGGGAACAACTTTGTCTGTCTTTTGGTGTGGTGGGTTTCAGGCCTCTAAATCAAGCCCATCTTTGTGGCTGTTGAGGCTCTTGCTCTGCCCATTCCCATGTTTGCTGGGGTTGGTGCCTGTTCCTGTAAGGAGGATTTCTGCCTCAGAAGAACCTGAAGAGCCTCCCCTCTGTGGTGTGGCTGAAGCACAAGTGCAGTGCAGTGCAGTCCCTGCAGGTGCCAGTGTGGCTGTGTCTGTCCCCAGTGCCAGGCAGTGCAGTGCAGTCCCTGCAGGTGCCAGTGTGGCTGTGTCTGTCCCCAGTGCCAGGCAGTGCAGTGCAGTTCCTGCAGGTGCCAGTGTGGCTGTGTCTGTCCCCACTGGCAGGTACAGCCCCGAGAACACGGAGCGGCGGCCGCGCTGGAAGAGGGGATTCCTGCAGGGCCACGTGAGCCGGCCCGACAAGGAGGAGAAGGAGGAGATCTACCGGGAGCGATGGCCCGAGTACCTCAGGCAGCTCAGGGGCAGGTGGGCCCAGGTTACTCCTTTACTTTAAGTTTTCAGGCAGTTCCTAACCATAAATTGGTGTTTATTGTGTTGCTGGGCTTTAGTAATGGTGGGGCAGCTGCTGCCATGGAAAACGATGATGGAATTCCTGGCAACCAGGGAAGTGCCTTTGAGCTGTCAGAATTAGCTCCCTTTGCCTGTGCAGACTGTGAGAGTCAGTTGTTCAGGTTAAATTTAAATTTGTTACCTAAATGCAGATTTAGTCCCTGGCCAATCCAGGAGGAGGAGATGTATGATCAAAGTGCTTCAAAGGCAGTTCAGTCATGACATGGCAATTCTTAAACTTACTGCTCTGAACTGACAATCACACTGAACTAAAGGTGGAGGGGCAAGAATTGATCACAGAACCAAACTGCTCAGAGGTGGGTTAGTGACTGTGTGACTGAGACCTGACAGCAGGAACAGGAGCACGTGGCTCTGTGTGTTCCAGGTTACCAGTGTCTGTGCTTTCCCTGCTGCAGGTATTCAGCAAGCACTATTGATGCCCTGGAAATGATGGATGATGACAAGGTGGACCTTGACCTCATAGCAGCTCTGATCAGACACATCGTGCTGGAAGAGGAGGTACAGTCCTGTCACTGTCACCACTCTGGTGGTGGCACTGGGCTGGGGCCAGGGGCTGTCACAGTGTCAGAGCCAGGGCTTACTTTGGCTTATCACACACAGAGAAAGGAAACTGCAAATCAAATTTACTTTTAGTTCTTTCTGTGACTGAGTATGTGCTTGTCAAAGGAAGTAGTCTTTGCAGTTTGTAGTAACAGTTACATTTAGTGAAACAGCTGTAGAAAACTCTGAAGGCCATTTTAGTGTACGACTAAATCTCCATTCCTTGTTCCTCTGCACTGGGAGGGAAAGGGCAAGAGCCATACTCATAGGTGTGTTCACTGCCTCATACCTATATTATTAGAAATATCAAGTAATTTAATGTTTCAGCTGATGGATCATTAAAACTGTGGATAATGAGGATGGCTTTGTTTTTTGTTCTTTCTGTCTTGAAAATTACACAATAGTTCCTCTCTTTTACTTGCACCTTAGATTCTAGTGTTGACATGGCTGTGTTTAAAACACTGCAGGGGACAACATTTAAAATCCAGTTTTTACTTCTTACATTCAGATAAATACATGTAGCTGGCTCTTTTATAGAAAAAAATGATCAAACTGTTCCAAATGGGAGTCAGTGAGGTTTCAGGTCTCACAGGTCCAGCAGGTGTATCAGTGTGCAAGTAGATGGCTCTCTGCACAGTGAGTGGGGTGTTCTGACCTCTCTTCCTTCTCTCCCTCTTTTCCCTGTAGGATGGTGCAATTCTGGTGTTTCTGCCAGGCTGGGACAACATCAGCACTTTGCACGATCTCTTGATGTCACAAGTCATGTTTAAGTCAGGTAAAACCAAAATTTTCATGGGAATTGTAGCAGTAGCATTAGTGGCAGACTATTTTTGCATGGAATTGTTGCTATTGCACTGGATTCATTTTTAGCTCATCTCTCCTCAAAATAATTGCAGTGTTCAGCAGTTTTTGTGTTTCTGTAGTATCCTTCATCTGCTAATGACAACAACTCGTTTTCCTCAGTGTGGGAGTGACAATGTGAAAAACAACCTGACCTGCATCTCCTTCCTGCTGTCCTTTCCTGTGGCTGTGAGAACCCCCTCCCAAACTAAACTCCATTCTCTGTGTTTCCTCTGCACAGGGTTCTCCAGCAGCTCCCGCCCCCTGCTTTGCTGAGAGCTCCCTCCAGCCTGTTTATCTCAGCTTTGTTATGGGCACTGAAGTGTCTGTGCCTGTCTGATACACTTTAACTTGTCCTTTGGCCCATCTCATCTTTCCATCTAACCTCCCTTAGCTGGGCTCTTCACTATTCAGATGTTGCCTTGCAGTATGTGGTGTGTACAGTCCATAGATACAGAATTTCAGTTTATTGAAAGATTGTGTCAGTTTATGTGTTAAACTTGAGCAATTATTAAATAATTTGAGAGTCTAAAAATAAATATAAATTACTGTACTTAACTTTATATATTTTATTAAACTTGTCATGTCATCATAGCATCATAAAAAAGTCCTTTATACCTTTTTACTTTAGAATTTGCCGTTATGATACAAGTATCTGTGAAATCAGAGCAAGAAACAATAGCCTAACTTGCAGCCTATTTTCTCTATTCTGCATGATTGATTTTCCTGTAAAGTTAAAGTTTCTGTGCTTACACCATATCTTTTACTGATTTTTAACTTCCAGATAGGTTTATTATCATACCTTTGCATTCACTGATGCCTACTGTTAACCAGACTCAGGTATGCTGCTCTTCTATTGTAATATTTCACAACTGCAAAAAAAAAAAAAAGAATGAAGCACATGTTTGGTTTTGGCAAACATATAAATGGGCCCTGGCTGATTACAGGTGTTTAAGAAGACCCCACCAGGAGTAAGGAAAATCGTGATTGCAACCAACATTGCAGAGACCAGGTAAATACCTGGCTGTACACACCCAGAAAAGCTGTATATTTATCAAAACAAATGAAAGTGGTAATTTAAAGTATAAACCTGTTTGATGTTTCCAAAAATATATGTTCCTGTGTTTGTGCCATTCATTTATAACACTATCTTTAGAAATGTTTATAGACTAAACAGAGTTTTCCTAGAATTGTTTTAAACGGACCAATTCAATTGTTTTGAACAAATAAACTATAGGAATACTAAACAATTCCTATATTGACTTGCCTTCGTACGAGATAATCTGAGCTTCTCATCCTCTGTGCACCTTCAGAACCCACGTGGGGGCTTCTGCCAGACCCAGCAGAATAAATCAGCCCTGTCTTGAACTCCAGTGATGCAATTCTTAATGACATTCCAAACACAGAGTTTTTAATTGCTTACTCATAATTTGGGAAGGGATAAAGAGAAGCCAAACCCCTTTCCAGTCCTAGGTCAAGCTTGCAGAGATGAAGAGTTGAATTTTTTCTGTTTTCTTCCACCAGCATCACAATTGATGACGTCGTGTTTGTGATAGATGGGGGCAAAATAAAGGAGACTCACTTTGACACCCAGAACAACATCAGCACCATGGCAGCAGAGTGGGTGAGCAAAGCCAATGCCAAGCAGAGGAAGGGTCGGGCAGGAAGGTAAGAGCAGTTGGGATGGGGAGGGAGGGTTGGGATGGGGAGGTTTCCATCAGTCCTGGAGCACATGCTGGGACTTCTGCTTTGTTCCTGCCATGCCCAGCAGCAGGGCTGGCACAGCTGCCTCCTTCCTGGGGAAGCAGTGGTTCCCTTGTCCTTCTGGGAAGCTGAAGTGACCTGTGCTGCATTTGAGTCCTGAGTTTCCCCCCTACAGAAGAATAAGTCCCGTATTTTATTTTAATTTTTGTTGGAACTGTTTGCCTTCACATCTGATTTATGAGGCTGATCCATTAAAGTGAAAATGGCTTAAAAATTAATTTCTGTACTCTCCATGCCTTTTTGCTGCTGATGGGTCTGTGTTTCAGAAGGCTGAAATGGCTTTTACAATTGGATACACTTCAGTTCTAACTCCTTTAGGTGTTTTGAAAAGCTGTTTGTAAACAAACACAATTATAATGTCACAGTTTCATAGAAAAAAGCAAAAAAACAACCTAAGCCAAAGCAGTTGTTTGTTGAAATCACTGCAGAGTTCAGCCAGGCCACTGTTACCATCTGTACAATGGGCTGCGTGCCAGCCTGCTGGATGATTATCAGTTACCAGAGATCCTGAGGACACCCTTGGAGGAACTCTGCTTGCAAATCAAGGTAAACAGGACTCTTCAAACATATTTATAATCTACTTTTCCATTGGAATAAGAGGTTGTGAGAATAATTTAATGCAACTGTGAGCCTAAGATTGTCAGATGAAATTTCTGTTACACAGAAATGCAGAGTATATGCAGCCAATAGTTGCAGCACCTTTTGGAAAAGCACACTTGTACCTGGGTGCATCAAACCCAGGAAAACAGGGTTGTCTGGTGTCAGTAAAAGGTGAAGTCTAGACTGTGCTTCCCCCAAATGTGACTCAGTCAGAGGAGATTCAGTGAGAATGCCAGTGAGTCAGGGGTGTGATGTCTTAAAAGAATTTTACTACAAAGTGGTTTTAGAACTGACACGAGCTTCCCTTTTTGGCAGTTTGTATTGAATTCCTCATGCAAGCAGAAGGAGTGCCACGTGTATGTGAACTGAATGAAGAATAGATCCTTCTGTTTCAAATTTCATCATTAATACATTTTTTCCCTTAGTTCTTAATTAAAGAAATTCTAACTCAAGCTGTGAGGCAGTCACACTATTTCAGTTATGAAGTTACTGCTGGCTGATTTTAGGCAGCCATCTTTCTCTGGTTGCTGTAGGCTTTTGTTGTTTTTTCTTGCAGATCCTGAAGCTTGGTGGAATTGCCTATTTTCTGAGCAAACTAATGGACCCACCATCTCGTGATGCTGTCATGTTGGCCATAAATCACCTCATGGAGCTGGTAAAGTGTTGTTTCATATGCAAGGAATGACCTGGGTAGAACCATGTTACATGTGTGTTACCAGACAGGTCTGGCTGCACAGGCCTGGACATTGCACCCCTTCCTTTTTGTGGAGCCCTGATGTGTCCTCACTGCACAGAGGGAGCAAATTCCCATCACCCAGGATGGTTATGGGCTGCACAGCTATGCTGGGGCACTTTCTGAATGACTCAAACCAGACACATGGACCCTGCTCTTCAGTTCCCTGCAGACATTGCTTTCCCTCTCTGCTCTGCACTGCCCTGCTCAGCCCTGCAGCCCCAGCCCTCCTGTGCCTGAGGGCATTCTTCTGGGGGCAGATCAGGGATATGAGAGTAAGGCATTGTGTGTCATTGGCCCTCTGGATGCTGGAGGAGGAGACATTAACGACACATTTGTTCTGCTGACTCCTTGCCCTGGTGTTATTTGCACAAATGAGTTGTAGCCTTAAATTGAACCCTCTGATTTAGGTACTAGTGGGTGATAGGAGTGTGCTAGTGGCTCTTCCAAGGAAATCCTCCCCATTTCACACGATGTGTTTGTTCTTTACTTTTTCCCCTCTCCTGGCAGAATGCTCTGGACAGGCAGGAGGAGCTGACTCCCCTGGGTGTCCACCTTGCACGGCTGCCAGTGGAGCCCCACATTGGGAAGATGATCCTCTTTGGGGCCTTGTTCTGCTGCCTGGACCCTGTGCTCACCATTGCAGCCAGCCTCAGCTTCAAGGACCCCTTTGTCATCCCTCTGGTAAAGGGGAATTACAATGAGTGGGGCTTACTGAAATGCTGTAGTTTAAAAGCACTTTAATCTGATTTTCCTGTTAATTACATTTTTATTGGTAAGATTACCATCACATACTACAAATTATTACCTTTGCCTTCAGATTATTGGAAGTAGCTATAATTTTCATACCAGTTGCATATGAAGTATTGCTCTATCGATGTACCTTAATTAGGAAAAGAGAACTGTTGTGTCAGGCTGGATATTTTATGGGTTCTAATTTTTAGGGCAAAGAGAAAGTTGCAGATGCAAGAAGAAAGGAGCTGTCAAAGAACACGAAAAGCGACCACCTGACTGTGGTGAATGCTTTCACTGTAAGCACATTTTAATGGGGTTTTTTCTTCTAGAACTTTAATTTGGGTAATATAGTTGATCCTAAGGAAAAAGTTGATCAGTTTGTGCTCTGTAGGATTTCTTACTTGGCTTCTAAAGAAACATAAAACCAAACTGATTGTCACTCTTCTAGTGTTGAGGAATCTTGTCTTCAGGCTCAAATACCTGATTTCTGGTGGATAAGTCTGTGAAAGAGACTTAGAAAACTTAATCTTATAGTTTACCTTGCTAAGTTGTTCATTCTTGTCCTTCTGGCCTCTATGAGAGGCCAGAGCTGACTTTAGAAGTGTTAGAGATTGAGCTGTGTTTTGTTGGGTTGAGAAGAGAAGGAAATAAATGGCCTGAAAAATGCAGTTTCTGCCCAGGACTGTTAATAACAAATGATGTTGTGGCAAATGTAGCCAGATTTCACTGCTCCCCATGAAAACCACAAGTTTTCAATTCTAAACATGAAGTTGTGTTTTTCTGCTCAGTGCTGTGTACACATAAACAAAGAGATCCAAGGATTTACTTTCTCTCTTGGAGAAACTGCTTTGTTTGTTCACCTCCAGTTTTTGCTGGCCTTAATTTTGTGGTGTGTTTCCCTTACAAACCCCCTGGAACTATGGTTTTTATGTCTAGGGCTGGGAAGAGACTCGGCGTCGTGGCTTCAGGACTGAGAAGGACTATTGCTGGGAGTATTTCCTGTCCTCCAACACCCTGCAGGTAACAGCCCCTGGCAGGTTGCACCGTGGGCTGGGGGGCCGAGCAGGGCTTTGCTCAGCACCGCTCTGGGCCGTGGCTGTTCTCTCCTAGATGCTGCACAACATGAAGGGGCAGTTTGCTGAGCACCTCCTCGCAGCTGGGTTTGTGAGCAGCAGAGACCCCAAGGATCCCAAATCTAACACCAACTCGGGTAACTGTGCAGGGGCATGGAGCCTTTCTGAGGGCTGGAGCCTCAGCTTGCAGAACTGCCTGATTGCCTGCCCTGTCTCCTACAGATAACGAGAAGCTGCTCAAAGCCGTCATCTGTGCTGGCCTCTATCCCAAAGTGGCAAAGATCCGGCCCAGCTTCAGCAAAAAGAGAAAAATGTGAGGGCTTGGTTTAATGTTGGTTTGTGTTGAGGGTGATTTGTGCTTGGGGTGGTTTGGAAAGGTGAAGCAGTGGCTCGAGTGCAGGAATGAATCTCACTTTATAGCTCAAGTCATACCTCTGGATTACTCCTTTGAGAAGGGCAGATGAGAGTGTGGGTTGTTGATCTCTTAACATTTAGATACCTGCTGGTATTGGAATAATTTGTGTGACCTTATTGTGCCATGGGTAATGTTCCAGTATATCAGTAGCACTGCTCCAAAGGGCTCCTGCCCTCATCTGTGTTCTGCAGCAGCAGTTCAGACACTGACATTTCTGGTTATTTGGCAAGATAGAGCACAGAAATCCTGGTCTGTTGACTTATCACTTCTTATAGTATCAGACTTTTTTTTTCTTTGAAGGGTGAAAGTTTGCACCAAGACAGATGGATCAGTTAATATTCATCCCAAATCAGTTAATGTGGAGGAGACCGAGTTCCATTATAACTGGCTCGTGTACCATCTGAAGATGAGGACCAGCAGTGTAAGTGAGGGGTTATGTTTGGGTAGGTTAATTTGGTATCCCTTTGTAAATGAGGTTGGATCAGGGTTCAGAGGGGGCGTGAACAGCCTTTGTTCTGGAGCCTTCCTGTCTCAGGCCATTTCTTTTACACACCATCAGTTATGTTCTTTGTGATATGGGAGTATTGTGCCACAAATAACTAACTTTTGTGGTTTAGTGGTTGGGGGTTTTTTTGGAGGACTTGGATTTTTTTTTTTTACAGTTCTGGCAATAACAGGTGTAAATTTTATTTGAATTTATTTTTTTCATTTCAGTCCAGTCTAACACTTAATCAATATGCTGAAATATTCCCCCTTCATTGTTATGGAGCAGCTGGTTTGATTTCACCACTGTGTGAAGGACTGTATTTGGGACCATTTTTGCTCCTGTTCAGTCTGATTTTATGTAAATTTTTTTGAACTGAGTTGCTTCATACATCTTGCAGATTTGTGATTGAATCATGATCTTCTGGAATTCTGTAGGAGTCTCATTAAGAGTTACTGGTGGCCCTTAGGATGTTTTGAGGGTGATCAGCCAACTTTGCTGTCGTGCAGATTTACCTGTATGACTGTACAGAGGTGTCTCCATACTGCCTTCTGTTCTTTGGAGGGGATATATCCATCCAGAAGGATAAGGACCAGGACACCATCGCTGTGGATGAGTGGATTGTTTTCCAGTCTCCAGCAAGAATAGCACACTTGGTGAAGGTGACTATGTTTAGTAATAATAATGTACATGGAAGGCTCAGTAACACTGATCCGTGGGAATTTCTGGATTTGCTGTTACTGTGTCCCTACGGATTCATCACTCAGGGAGATAGTGGTTGAAATGCATTCCCAGTGAACTACACAAAGAAAACAAAAGAGATCAACTCTTCCACAGCAGAAGCTGGAGGATGACTTGGTCATTCCATGAAAACATGAGGATGGGGCTCCTCAGCTAGCAGGAATAAGTTCTAATAGAGCTATTTAATATTAGATCCCAGAAATCATACCTGACATTTTTTATATATGTTTTTTTTTTTTTTTTTTACTTTTTTTTAAACCAGTATTTTTAATCCTGAAATAGTCAGCTAATGGATGT